TATTTAAATGGAAATGCTAAACAATATTATCAATAGGTTGTCATCTAACATCTATTAATTATGCTATTATCTATTAATTATGCTTTGTTCACACTTAGTAAAATATTTTGTTCATTTCTGTTGTTCTTTCAACTGCTTTGTCAGTTTTATCCTAATTCAAACAACTTAAAGGTCAATAATAATTCTAGCTAATAACGGAAAGCTTTTTGACCAAATTTTCTATTCAGGAAAGAAAAGTTCTCCCTCTTTCAATAATCAGTTGAAGCAGTTACTGTTTTAAAACAGAATAAAGTACTTTGTAAAACAGGCACATAATTATTTTAGTTTTAAAACGTTTTATTTCAGATAAAGCATGCTGCTATATACAGAAAAAGTGTGGGTCAAAGCAAGAGCAATACAGAATGGGCAACATATTCCTTAAAACTTAAAAGATGCTTTTAAAAGCTTCAGTGCAACAGTACTATGATATATTCTTCTCACTCCTAGATCACCTCTAGCAAAATGTCATTTCCTCGCAGATCCTGAGCAACCCCAGCTATCTCTCACTTTTATATAATGATAAATTCAATTTTCCAACACAAAACTTACAGCAATGGTTTCAGCAAATAACCTCTACCAGTGTAATATATTGAAGAAATATAACTTCACATTGCTAATATCTTATTTCAAACAGCATCATTCAACTATGCAAACTAAGTATGTTGTACATTTAGCAAGGTCTAGGCCAGTCAGTTTTTCTTTTCAACTTTCTCCTACTTCATTATCTTTACAGCAGTAAAACTCAGTAAAAGTCTCAATTCTTCTTCCTCCTAAAGAAATACTGTCAGCAACTTCCCTCTAATTTTCTCCTAAAGTCAAGGGACCGCAATAGTGATGTTTTCCTGTATACTGAAGTTTGAGATAGTAAAGGAGTAAAGCTAAACTACTTTAAAATGAAGAACACGAACTGGGTTGTATTGCTACTTTTAGTTGTGATGACAGTGAATGGCTAACAGGCTAACGACAGAAACCTACAGAGCAAGGCCCCAGCAGCGTGTGTGACACACTGGGGTTCTAACTCAGGACAGCAGCTAATGTTTGACTGTAACTCTGTCTGTGTTTGCCCCATAAATGTGGGCTTTTAACTTTTGACATTAAGGAGCTGCGCTGACAGGCCGTGATGCCAATTGCGCAATTTGGCAAAGCGTGGGCTGTTACGTTCCGTTTCAAACCTTTCCCTGTGGCATGAAGAAAGAGAGAGAGAGAGAGAGAGAGAGAGAGAAAGACAGAGACAGAGAGAGACACAAACACAGAAGAAAGAAAGGAGGGAGAAAGAAAGGGGTTAGGGACCATGGCTACCACTCCCCTGCCTTATAACTAGGGCAATGGCAATTTATTTGGATTTTCTCCTCAGCTATCAAATCAGCACAATGAAGGCTGGGTGATGCTTTTTGGACCATGTATGAAAGGTTTTGCAGTTGTTTATTTCTGAGAAGTAACTCGATATAACTTCTTATTCTTTGACTTGTGCTTGGTATTACAGGGCTGCTTTTGCTAGAAATGCAGTGTAATCCCATTGTTTCCCTGCCACCAGTTTCTCTTGGCTTTTCCCTCCCTTGCCCCCAGCTGAGCAGTCAGTGACAGTTAACTCATAAAAGTGCAAAATGAATGCAGGTATTTTCCATTCTGTAACACCTAGGCCAGCCCATATATATCCTGCTGTCCTTCCTGCAAGGACCATCACCCACAGGTTTAAGCAGTACTTTTCTACAATTTTTCTCAGCATTAGTAAGTATTAGTGTTTACATTTGCATAAATATTTCTGGTCATGGGTGTCACAAAGCAGAACAACATGGGATTTTCAAAGCAGAGTCCTGTGAAGTATTGGCCATCTCCTGCCCTCCCTGGCTACCTCTGACTGCACACTGGGGCTGTCGAGCCATGTTCAGCACCTCTCAGGATTTAGCCTTTTCTAGACACTCTACAGTTTAAATTCAGGTTTTCTAAATAAAAAGGGGAAGAAGGAGGATGTGAGATGAGAGCACAGTGAAGGAGAAGTATATCAAACAGAATGGAAAATAAAATGTTCTTGTTATTTGCAAAACGTGTTTGAATCACTGCAAACAAGGTAATTTTTTTTCCTCATTATTTACACTCAAAACACAAGACAATTAATTTTGTTAATGCAGTGGAACTTGAGAGTGAAACCAGCCAAACAGAAATGAGCAGACTGAGCTGGTTTTACTCCTCAGGCTGAAGAAAGCACATAACAATAGACAGAGTAAATGCCAACAAATTCACTGATATTTCTAAATCTTCTGTTCTTAATAACACAGTGTCATGCAAGTAACACTCCTAAAGGAGTGTTGATGTATGACTTCTCAAAATATCTTTTATGCTTTTAAGTAATTAAAAGATATAAAGTATTCCTAGTTGAAACTTCCTGATGGCATTTTTTCCAGTTACACCGGAGTGTACCAGCTACAGTGGGTCTGATATGTAATTTAAGAATTCCCTTACTACTTCTGAGATATTATCCCTCCATTCAAGGAAAAGGTATTCAGAAACATGTGTTTGGCTTGAAATAGATCCCTTCTTTCCAGAAAATATTCCACAACAATCATCACACCAGCAATGGAAAGTTTTCATAGCAAGTTATAATCTCATGTGTGCCTTCAAAATAGCAGCAGCACGAGCGAGGGACAGTCATGCAACGCACTCATTAATATTAACTGAAAGGGATATTCTGCCACCCAAAAATGCCCAAGCTTCATAGGTCTCATTTAGAACATATGTCATGAAGTTAGAAGCAGCAATCTAAAAGTGACTATTTTTATGTAAAACAGTTCTGCCAAAAATAAGCTACATGTATCACCCCCTGTCCCTCAAGAGTTTGGGAGAAATCTGATCAGCATTTCATGCAGTTCTTGCAAGAGAAAGCACCAGAGAGATTGCTCACAGCATGCCCTGAGACCAAAATCCCCTGCCCTCCAAAATCTCTGGCAGTTTAACTTTTGGAACATGAAGGATTTTTCCAGAACTCCAGCACAGCAGGGCAAGACTCAGGTTCCACAGTTCCATGGAAACCTTTTGCTTTCAGGAACCCAGGAAACCTTCCAGATGACCCCAAACTGTGGATGTGGAGAAAGGTGTGGTTGTATAGTCTGGATCTGGAGTAGATACTGAAGAGGACTTTCTACTCCATTATTGTGCTGGAAGAGTGGAGTTCAAGCATGGAGTCTGTGCATCTGACACAGGTCCTTCCATCCCTTACAAAATCAAAAGTGGCAGGAGCCTTCCCAAGAGATGAAACAGGCCCCAAAGAGCTGTCTATGATCGATGCATGCACAACTGGGGCTTTTGCTACCACATCTCCAGTGGAGTGTGTGCAATGTCTGAGGCAGGCACCAACCCACCCACATGGGACAGGCACTGTCAGGGAGGCAGGAAGGAGACCCCGTTTCATTCCTTGCCCCAGAGCTCACACCAATTGCACAGTTCCTGTGTAACTACCTAGTATATGTTCCCTTGAATCTACTGCCAATGAATGCCCTTAAACCTGTTCAGGTGTGCCTAAACATAGCCAGAATCTCCTTGTGAAAACAAAGGATAACACAGTGAAACCTCAAAACTGCAGAAAACATGCAAAGCACAGTGAATATAGTCATGTACTTTGAGATAGAATGTGCAATTTCCACGTGTTGAGGTGTTACTAGATAATTATTGTCAACATATCTGATACCACCTAAATTTTCCAGTATCTAGTATTTTCTAAAGCCACAGACTACACCTAGAAAGATTATTCCTTTAAAACAACATATTAATCTCAGATGTGGATGGGGGACTCTTAAGTTCATCACAATGCTTTAAATCCCATCATAGTAAGGATTTGGATGTGTGCTATTACATCAAAACAGATAATGCACAATACATTTAATGAGAATTAGGCTTGCACATTTGAGGGAAGAAATAAATCCCTGAGGGATATAATGTCAAGCCTGATGTTCGGGCACTTAGCCATGAACTTGGGTGAACTGCAACGGAAGGTTTATAGCAAACATCAACTGAAAGCACGCTTGTATTCTCACGGGGAAGACAGCAGATTTTTTTCTCACTGATTCAACATTTGTAACTTGCGCTGTGATCAAAAGCTCAGAACCTTTAAAGAAGCCATATAGCAGTAAAAAGAAAAAAAAAAGAAAAAGGAAAGGAGGTGGTTTGAGTATCAAACACATCACAAACCCAGCCAGCGGCTTAGAGCAGCTCATGTGAATAGGGATTTGAATATGCAAACAGAAAATAAGGCTTACACGCAGGATGCTCTTGATTCAACTGCAGTTTTTAGCTCAACATAAGAATCTCTAATACATCTATTTCCTGGCTATGCAGGATGATGATAAATCTTTAATTCCATATTATATCTCTGAACATATCCACTTTTTAAGTGTTTTTGATAGATCATATGAAACAAATACATTTATCCACTAGCAAAAGCAGTCCTGTGCTTCCGTATTCTATAAATTTGGGTCGTATTTATTCCAAACAAAACATAAGCTAAGGATTATGGGTATGGATGGAAACAACTCCTTTACTGTATCATTTAGGGAGAATCAAATGTCAATCAGAGGGTCATCCAAATAAATTGCTCACAAATTTCAGTGCTATCACAACATTACATATTTTCATCCAGTTACACAATCAAGTAGTTACATAGGGCTTGGAATTCAACACATTCATACACCCAGTAAAGTACAGGAAAGTTGCATGAGCAAGGAGCTTTGAGATTTGAAAACACACTCCAGGAATTTTGCACTGTCTTTCCTAAAAGCATGCTAATTTGTTATCCTTCTCATTCAAAGGCCTCTCACAGAGAGCATTTTAATTTTAGTGATTTTTAAGTAAATGTATTAGACTATTTTAGGACAAAAATATAATAAAGGAGGTTCATATTAATGCCATTTTAAAACACTATCGGGTTATCAGGAAGGAGAAAGCCATATTTTTCACAGGGTGTTGCCTACCTTGACCTCCTCAGGGCTTCTTCATCTGGATCTTGCACTGTAGACAAAAAATGTTCCAGTTAAAAAAGCAAGAAAGAAAGGAATTGGCTTTATGATGAAGTTATAAGTTCCTTAAAAACATATCAAAAGCCTATCTAAAGGTGCACTCATGTTGATTTTGCAGCAACTGAATTTGTGAGAACATCATGAGGAAGAGCAGTTCCCTAGAGATGGAAATGAGGATGTCAGGAGGAATGTAGCTATTACAACTACTTTGTCATTCATTTATTAGCAGTGTTTCACAGCTGTAGGCAATGATTCTACAGAGAGGTCCTGCTGTTTTGCAGGAAAGCACAAGAGGCATCAGCAGTAGGTTCGTACAAAATACAAACTATTTCCCCCGATGTGGGAAAGGGCCCTGAACTTCCTTATCTCTAGATCAGAAACCAGCTGTGAGGTTAGTACCAGGTGGTCAGAAAAACATTTCCATAGGCAACAAGCAGCAAAGCTCAATCTCCTGTGACATTCACAGCAGATCTAGGTTTAGATAACAGGGCTGATAGAACCATAGATTCAAGACAAATGGTGATCCGTGATTTTTTTTGACCTCCAGAAGTCACTTCTATAAAAGGCTGTTACAAGAGACACGACTTATTTGTCATTTTTTCTAATGAATGGACAGCTTTGTATGTCTAGGCTGCTGGAGAACAAAAAATTGCACTGCAGAAATTTTCTTTGTAAGTAGGAAGAACTATGGGGTCCCAAATGCTCTTTCACTGCATAGTCTGTTATAGTTTTATGGTGAGACCCCTGGCAGATCAAAGAATTTTCTTCACAAAGCATAAGGTGAGACTGTACACTTTGATTTCCTATTCTCTCTAGTTCCATCCAGGATCTTGGACTGAAAACTGCGAGTCTGGTCATGAGTATTCCTTCAGTATCAGCGGCCAATACCAGGGCGATACATAACAACATGACTAAAATCAGGATGAGGAGGATGTTCTGTTATTCCACTTACTGTACTCCGTTCCAGTCATCTGGGCAAGGATGCGGAAGGACTTGGACTGCAGGTTGGCAGAGCGGCGGCTCCAGTCCTCGCTCTCATCCTCAGGCTTGTTCTGAGTTTTCAGCACAGCCTGATACACCGGGGAGGCACTGTCTACGTGAGGGTCTTTAAGAGGGAGGGTACTGCAATTCAGAAAGTGAAACGTTGTGAAACAGCATATGGTGCCTTTCCTCCCAACCCCTCTGGTCTCAGCTTATCACCCAGAGTAACAGCATCCCACAATGTGGCTTTGAAATTACCACTTCTTAAAAATATACATTGATCAATTTTATGTTATGGCTCATTTTATCTTTATAATGGCTAGTTATCATCAAATCTGCATATTCAAAACAGCATGAAAATGCTTGGAAATATCTGTTCATGATTCCTCAGCCAAGGAAGCCACAAGCTTACAGTGGTTAGAATAACGTGTGGTGATAAAGCTGAGTATGCCAGGCAAAAACATTTATTTCTCTGAGAATTCCTGTCCCCTATTATTTCTTATAAAAATGACTTCATGTTGACACTGTTTTATGCTACTTCTTTAAATTACAGTGTTGGGCCAATGTACTTCGAGATTGCACTTAGAAATAAAAACCATATTTCATTAAAAATAATGTGGTAGGCTTTTATAGCTCTTTCTAGAGATGATTCTTTGTCAAACTCTGAATTAAATTTCCATCTGCCATAAGTCTGGATTCATTGTCTACTAAACCTGTAAAGCAAAGAAGTCTAGACTTGTACTCAAGACTTGCATACATATGCTGTAACTGAAATCTTTAGCAACAGAATGTATCTCAGAGTCTTACAACATGTCTACTCATCTTGTGAAGTGATATATCCAGGAAAAAACTTTCAATTGTGCACAACTAAAATCAAAGCCACAAAGGTCTATAGCACAAGTGAAGTAACCTCTCTTTGATTTATGACACAAGCTAGAAACAGGCTTCGTAACTTAATAGTGCCTTTTTTTTCCCCTGTGAAAATAACTTCTGCATAGCATACAGTTAAAATTAACTATTAACAGAGCTGCAGGAATATACACTGAGGGGATGATGTATGCTTGGAGTAACTTGGCTCCATGGCTGCTCTAAATATAAGGTCTATTTTTGAAGCAAGTGATTTATTGTAACAGCTTTAACTTGTTATTCCATAAAGAGCTTTGCAAGCAGCAAGCTCAACTTCAGGAAAACTGAGAAATGGTTCTGTTAAAAGTTAAGGGCCACTTGGTCCAACTAAGTCACTGCCATAAAGTTCCAGGAACAGTCTCCTGCTATAAAAGTTTCTTCCTTGGTTCAGGCTCAAACTTAGTGTTCTCTAAGACACCACTGTGCAGAGAAAATCTACAGAGAAGTTGAGCCTGTGATTTGAAGACCTGAGAGAAATCATGAGAAAGCCAAGAACCATGTCTGACATCCTACACACAGCAATAACATATACTGTGATGAAAAATATTACCAGGTAGTGCTTTAAATATCAGTATTTTCCAGCTGACACACTCCTCTTCATCAATACACGGTTTTGATGCATCTGGATATAATAGCATGGGACGTGTTCTTCAGGTCAGACCACAAGTGGCTCACAAACATGGTCGGTGTTTATATGGACCCAAAAGCACCCTATCTCTCTAGGAATTTTCAGGGTTTATTGGAGGAGTATTGATGTTCTTCATAACCCCCAATATATGCAAACTTATCACTTTCTTGAGGACCCAGCACAGCACAAACCTCAGTAAAGTTTTTTTTTTGGCATTTTTCAGCACAATCATCTATGAGATGGAGCACAGCTTGGAAAAAAGGTGAACTCAGAAAAAAACCTGACTCTTCAGTTTAAGCTCTGCCACAAAACATACAAGTTATGTAAAAAAAGTTTCTCAGTGTGAAAGATGCCCTGTAGGAAGAAGCAGCATTTTCCAGCTCTTCTTTTAGCTCATGTTTCCAGATCACTATCTTTACAATATCTAAACACTAGCAGATACAGGAGGCATAATGTAGACTTGTTTATTTTGGGAAGGGTGTGCCATTAGTGGCTTCTACTAGTGTTGCTCCTAGTGGAAGATGGGAGAGCAGTAGTCTTCCTCTTCTGGCCCATCATATATGGCTGAAGGGCTTGCTGAGGCAGGGCAGAAAGTGTGGGAGCAGGAATAGTCTTTGCATGGAAAAGATTCTCTGTAATATCAACAGTAAGTCAGCAACCCACTCGGGACCATTCTGCTGCTGCCTCTGACACTTGGCTACACTGAAAAGTTCTGTCACTGTAAAGGGTCTTGTTAATGTTCCCCAAAAGATGACCCCAGAGGCATTTGAGGGTGCTGAGCACCCAGTACCCTGCCCTGTACGACTGCTATAGGTGACTGCCCGAATTGGGCCAACAGTTAACTTTATATCCCCAGACTGACTTTTTAATCTTGCTGAAGCTTAAAAAACTGCTGTTTTTAGCAGTGTGATAGAAAATTTCCCAGCTGCATACTGTTGCAAAGTGGATAATAAACCTCTGCTGACTTCAACCATAGACCACTGTGGCAACAGCACCGTGCAAGTTACAGACAGTACAAATTCCTTGGACTAAATCCTCTTGCTGAAATGCTTTGTTCTTGTATTATGACCAATATACAAAAAAAGCAGTTTAAAGGTTTATGTATAATTATGCTATTAACTCAAGGTTAGTTAAAAAACTAGAGCTAAAGGCTGGACCACAAATTTCACAGTAGTAACGTGTGGCATTAACAGGACGTATTAATATCCTTATGGTAGATGATTAAGGCAGGAAATAATAATAATGGCCAGTCTTCGCGAACGAAGATCTGGGGAAAGGTCTTTTACCTTTCCAGCCTGCGCAATGGATTTTTTTAGGTGAGACACAGCCTGCGCTGAACTGAGCCCACCCTTTAATCCTAAGGTTCATCTGCCGGGGCCAAGCACGCTTGGACAATGGCAGTGAGGTCCTCAGGACGTAGGTTTGTTTAGAGTGACCTTCTCATAGATGGATGGCCTCACAGGGCTAACGGGTTCCATCTGCCCGGGAGACCGAGGAATCGAACCCGGGTTGCAGCAGTGAGAGTCCTGCATGCTAACCACTAGGCCACCAGGGGTCTCAAGGCAGGAAATGGAGCTTGGTGAATTAACCTTCCCTAGCAGAGTGAAACATGCTCATATAAATTGAACTAAATTAATGTAATACATTGGAATATTTCCAAATCTGCCTTTAATTCAACAGGCCTTTTTCTTTTTTTAAAATCATAATTACATTGTAGATGAGTAACTAGGACGTATGAGCCACTCAGCATGGAAGTGCAAAATAGAGCGCATCGCTGATTATGAGCATTTCATAAACCTAAATGTGACAGTTGATTCCTACAGACAGCCTAAAGATGCACATAACCACGTTAATACCTCTGTTATACCTCTTTGTAATTTAATTTCTTTCCATCTGAGTGTGGATGTGCAGAAATATTATTCATCTTTAAGCATATTACTCTAAATTGATGTCACTGAAAAAAAATTCTTCCCAAATGGGTTAGAGCTTTTGAGGGTTTTCACACTACAGCCTAAGGTATTTTAGTAGGAGTCAATAAAGAATGATACTCCTTTTTCACATCATCATACTAGTCACACATTATTGACATTAAAACAAGCTTTAAAGACAGTCAAATTTCTTTGAGTAAGTAGCAGTGGGATTATTATTTTTTGGAGTCCATTATAAACTACAGTTTACCATGTGAATGGTACCCTGGAGTCATTAACCAGGTTTAATTTAAATAGATAATGAGTAAAACTTAGGAACACTGCAGTGTACTACCCCTGGTGTAGACATAGCATGAAATACTGTGACTTCAGGTATTGGACTGATTCCAGCTAATCAATAAAAGTGCTAAGAGGTAAAAATCCCCACAACCCAACAAACAAAAGTTCACGTAGACTGGTAAATATCCAGCCAAGTTGACTTACTGTAGAGGATACACAAGACTTTAGTTTCTACCCAATCACATTATTGATTCTGCTACTTTAACTTTTCAGTTCTTAATCTGGATAAAGTTGTTGGATTTATGCCTACTTACAACTTGTGAATTTGGCTAAAACTGCATAATAGAATTTAGAAGAGGTTTGACAGAAATATAATCAAAACGTACTAACCACGTGGTTTTACTGCAACGAACTCTTGCTTCTTGGTTTAGTAAAATCAATTAAAACAAAAAAAAACATAGCAAGAGAAGAAAAGATAAGAAGCCACGGCATTCAAAATTTTCTGTCTTTCAGTTCCAGTGTAATGTCTGAATAACTGCAGTATGAATAATTCTGTGCTTTCCTTTGTCTTTTCCATGGTGGTCCAGTAAGTGTGGGTTATTTTCTAAGTGACAAGAGTCTGATTCTGATCTCACTAAGTTACAGCATCACTGATTTCAAATAGTGAAACTAGAAAATGAATTCTTATCTTGAGCCTGTCTGTCCTTCATCACGGATAGAAGAGGTAAGCAGTGTTTCCAGGTACTGTCTGCCCTTTAGGTCTGCAGTCTGAGTGTGCTTACCATCTTACAGACATCTTGTGGCTTCAGGGCTCACCTCTAACGTGAAATGAAAAGCCAGAAGAAGAAAAATTAAGCACTGAGACTGAATTATATGCAGAGAATTGACACAAAATGAATCAGTACACAATTTGGTCTGCTTCTATATGAAAAACTTCTCATACAAATACTTCTGCATTAAGCATAATCTTATCTCAGACTTGACCAACTAAGCAAATGAAAGAACATATCACTTTCCACTGCAAATTAAAGTTCAGAATATCATGGAAGACAAAAGAACCTAAAGGTTTAATCGAATGAATATCAGTCAATGGGTAGGCCATTGTTATGGCAGCACAACCTTTGCTAGGTTTCTAGATATCTAGATTAAAAATGCTGTGTTAATTGTAATAAAAATTGTAATTGTAATAAAAAAACCTACAGAGAAAATTGGATAGTCACTAAATGTTATAAATTTAAAAAAAAGGCAAGAGAAGTTACAAAACAGGCTGTAGCTCTGAGCACAGTAGGAATAAAAACATTAGTTTCTCCTTGGGACCAGGCGAATGTTTGGCTTAGGAGTCACATTCCAAAATGAAGCAAAAGCTTAAATGGTAGCTTACATAGTGAATCTTAAAGAAA